GCCTGAGGGGGCTGCAGCTGCCCCTGCCCACACCCTGGGCCCCACAAATGGCTTAGAGGCGAGACAGTCCGTCGCTCCCACCAACCTGCCTCTCCAAAATAGCAAGTCTGGAGAAGCCGGGCACCTGCAGAAGAGGCGGCTGCAGAAGAGTGGGGGGGGCATCATCTCATCCACCCTGGAGGGGAGACGTGGTGAGATCAGGGAGTTGTTTCTCAAGGTCTCACCTCAACATCTTTTCCTCCAGGTGCAGACCAGCCACGGCCACGACCACGGCCACAACCACAGCCACAGGCTGCCCAGGTGTGTTGCACCTGTCTGGCTACATCCTTTCTCACACACCTGCCTCCACAGAGGAAAAGCTGGGAGCAGGCTGGGGGCCCAAAAGAGCCACCCTTTCCCAGGGCTGTGGACCCTTTGGTGGGAGAATGGGCAGGAATTCCCAGTGATGTGATCTGTGCCCAGGACCAAGGGCCCACACTTCACCTTTGCCCTGCCTCAGTCCACTTCACCCCTGGGTGTGGTGGCTCACTCCTATAATCCCAGCACTTTGGGAGGCCAAGGCAGGTGGATTGCTTGAGCCCAGAAGTTCAAGACCAGCCTGGGCAACACTGCGAGACCCTATCCCTACAAAAAAAAAAAAAAAAATAGCCAGGCATGGTGGTGCATATCATAGTCTCAGCTATTAGGGAGGCTGAGAAAAGAGGATCATCTGAGCCTGGGAGGTGGAGGTTGTGTGTGCTGGGCCTCCCTCCTGCCAGCACACTGCTTGTGTGATTGTGACTGCGCCACTGCACTCCAGCCTGGGCAACAGAGCAAGACCCTCTCTCAAAAAGTAAGGGAACAACCGCTCCCTAAGCCTCTCCCTAAAACAGTCATTTCCTAGAGCCTTGCTCACTGTACCTTCCAACCTGTGTAACCCACTTGCTTCTTCATTTTGAAAAGAAAGAAAATGCATGCTCATCATAGGAAAACTAGAAAATCCACCAAAAATTCATATGGGGCAATAAGGATAGGGTATGCACAACATGCTATTAATTATGGGAGAAAATCGGGTTGGTGGGAGAAGACATTTGCACTTGCCTGGAAGCACATGGGATCGCTCTGGATGAGACCCAAGAAACAGGCAGCTCAGGCTGCACTGATGGAGGGAGACGAGATGGCTTGAGGGAGGCGGAATCCTTGCTCGTGGTATGTCCTTCTGCAGTTTTCAAGGAAGAGGAGGAGAGAGAGAAGGAGAAACAGGAAAGGAAGATGCAGAAATTAGGAAACAGTCCGCAGGACCACCCTGACTTCTGACAGCAATTGCAAGTTTGGGAGTCCTCAAGTTCATCCTCCTCCGTTTCAGTAACTCACTGAAAGCTGTGATGGTTACAGTTATGGTTTGTTACAGTGAAAGGATTAAAATCAGCCAAGGGAAGAGATGCCTGGGGCAGAGTGCAAGGAAGTTCCAGTCTCCTTCTCCCAGTGGAGCTATGGACCACGTGAATTCCTCCCAGCAACGGTGCGTGACGAGATGCATGGAGCGTTGCCAAGCAGAGATGCCCCCGGAGTCCTGGTGTCCAGAGTTTTTAACTGGGGCTCGATCACAATCACGTGGGCTTAATGGACTGATGCCCACGTGGCTGACCCTTAGTCTTCTGCCCCTTCAGAGGTCAAACAGAGACCGCGTGGCCCAAATTCCCCCTCGTGACAGGCAAACAAAGATGCTCTTCTTGAGCAGGCCATCCCGAGTGCCTGGAGATCCCCTCCCGGGAACCAAGGACAAAGACTAGACCTCTCTTTGGGTCAGGTTAATTCTTTACTACACAGAAAGTCCTATAAACAGGATGACTAGCCATTCCAATGTGGCCAAGACCCTCCCCCATTTTAGTGCTGAAAGTGCCATGGCCCAGGGAACCCTTCCACTCCAATGACTCACTCTACATGGAGGCACCCACCATCGCTACCCCCAAAAAATGTGATAGCTTTTTTCTGTATCTTCTTGGCTCTGCTGTAGTGACAGGTCCAGAAGCACAGGACCTGGCAGCCACGGGGAAGCAGAGTCGGCTTCTGTGCTCTGAAAGTCCAAGTGGAGTCCCCAGCCCACCACAGTTCCCAGCCGCAGCCCCCTCCAGCAAGACTCTTCCTCCAGCTTATCCAGGTTCCAGTCCTTCTAGCCTCAGCAACATGGCAAAGCCACCAGCTTCCCCTGCAGGTCACCTGGGCCCCCAGGCTGGACACCAGCCTTGTGTGATCTTCTCCACCAGCCCTGACAGTGTCAGGGTCTCATGCCCATAATAAATCTTGTCTACAGCACCCATGGCAATTGCACCCTAAAACAGACTAAAGGGAATCACTGTGAGCCATAACTCGATCACCCACAATGGCCAACCATGTTTCTGCTCTGTATGTTGCTCTTATAAGTGGGGTCCTTCATACTTCTCATCTCCTGATGGATTGCTGTGTATATGGTTTCTCCATATTGATCAAGACCCGCTCACTTGGCTGAATTCTGTTATTAGCATTTGTAACTGCTTTCAGTGACTCTCTTCCATTTTCCAAGAAAATCATCCATGTCTCTGCAAATAATAGTTTTCCTTCTTAATGTTTGAAGCTCTGATTTCTTCCTCTTTTCTAATTGTTTTTCTGATATCCAACCATCCTTGCATTTCTGAAATCCATTCCACTCAGTCAGTTGTGATGATTTATTCCCCTAATGTGCTGCTTAATTCAGGGATTTAATATTTTTACATCAATGTTCCCAAGCAATACTGGCGTGTGTTTTCTCTTTCCACACCACCTTTGATGGATATTGGTATCAATGATATGCTTGTTACATAAAAAGAAGTTAAACCACGTTCCTTCTTTTATGTTTTAGACGGCTTAACTAGTGTTTAATTACTTGTTCCTTTTTGGTGTGTTTAGATCCTGCTATATAACATTCTGGGCCTGATGCCTTTTTTTTTTTTTTTTTTTTTAGGAAAGGTTGACTTGGACAACTTTCTATTTCTTCTATGGTAATCAATTTGTTTAGACTTTACATCTCTTTTGGAGTCTTTTTTTTAAAATAAATGATGTTTTCTATGTTTTCAAAGTCTCAAAATCATTTCTCCATCCCAGTGCGAGTTTCCTGTGGTTATTTGCCTTGTTATGTCTCTGTGGTGGTTTCCCCATAGACTATTACTTTCATGTATGTTTTCTTCTTTTTTCTTGATAGAATTGACTAACAGCATCCTTTTTTAGGCCTCCTCAAAAATCTGGCACTTGGGTACATTTTTTAATTATCTCACTTCTTAATGCATCCATTTCCTCTCTTATAACTTCCTTCTGTTTTTCTTAGTTTCATTTCTATTCTGTTCACTATATTGAGCCTAACGCCTAATTCATACATTTTCATTCTTCCTATTTGTTAATATGAATATTTAGGGCTAAAACTTTCCCTTCAAGAATTGCTTTAGCCACATCCTATAGATTCTTGTTTGAAATATGAACATTATTACTCAGCCCATCTATGCCTAGTGTTCCATTATTGGAACGCTAAGCATGTGGGAGTTATTTATATCCTACTGCTCAAGGTCATCACCAAGGTCTGATTGCAAAAATTCAAAAAATGGCAACCTCAGGCACAAATGGGTTAAGAAGCTCCTCCAGGGCCGGGTGCGGTGGCTCACGCCTGTAATCCCAGCACTTTGGGAGGCCGAGGCAGGCGGATCACAAGGTCAAGAGATCAAAACCGTCCTGGCCAACATGGTGAAACCCTGTCTCTATAAAAAAAAAAAAAAAAAGGAAAAAGAAAAGAAAAAAAAAAAAAAGAACCTCCTCCAGGAAGCTCCCTTGTGTGTTCCTATAGCACACCATGCATTCACCCACCACCCTTTTGCTACAGTATGAAGGCCCAGCACAGCACTGTCCATAATAAAAATAATATGTTACCTATGTAATTTTAAATTTCCTAGTAGCCATATTAACACCTATTAGAAGGAACATGTGAATCAACCTAAATGCCCATCAGTGGTAGACTGGATAAGGAAAAAGTGGTACATATGCACCATGGAATACTATGCAGCCATAATAAAGAATGGGATCCTGTCCTTTGCAGGAACATGAGTGGAGCTGGAGGCCATTGTCCACAGCAAACGAACGCAGGAAGAGAAAAACAAATAGCACATGTTCTCACTTGTCGGGGCTAAAAGATGAGAACACATGGTCACATAAAGGGAAACAACAAACACTGGGGAGTACTTGAGGGTGGAAGGTGAGGGAGGGTGATGATCAGACAAAATAACTCTTGGGTATGGAGTCTAGTGCCCAGGTGACAAATAATCTGTACAGCAAACCCCCCTGACATGATTTTACCTATATAACAAACCTGCACATGTACCACTGAACCTAAAAAAAATGTTAAATGTAAAATAAAATATCATGTCCAATAAAACATAAAAATGAAATAGATGAAATCAAATTAAATATTTTATTTAACCCAATGCGCCCAAAATAGTATCATTTCAATGCATAATCAATATAAAACCATTGCTAATGAGATTTTACATTATTTTTCTGTGCCAAGTCTTCGAGAGTCAGTATGTATTTTATTTACATCGTATTGCAATTTGTGATGGCCACAGTTTTACTGTCCAATAACCACACATGCCTAGTGCAGGCCTAACACCTGTTCCCAGGTCTCTCTGCTGGCTACCCTTTACCTCCCTGACTGTAAGCTACCTGGGGGCAGGTGCTCTGTCTTATTCCACATTGTATCCGTGGTGCCTTGAATACTGCAAGCCATCAGTGAATGCTTGCTGAGTGCTTGCAGGCAGGGTGGCTCAAACAGCAGACATTTATGTTCTCACAGTCCTAGAGGCAGGAGTCTGAGACCAAGGGGTCCACAGGACTGTCTCTTCCTGAGTCCTCTCGCCTTGGCTTGGACACGGCCGTCTTCTCCTTGTGTCCTCACCTGGCTCTCGCTCTTTCTCTCTCTCTCTCTCTCTCTGTGTGTGTGTGTGTGTGTGTGTGTGTGTGTGTGTATCTGGGTCCTAATCTCCTCCTCTGATTAGGACATCCATCCTTTGGATTAGGGCACCCATCCTTTGGATTAGGGCTCACCCTGATGAACTTATTTTAACTTAATTACCTCTGTGAAGACCATATCTTCAAATATAGTCTCATTCTGAAGTATTAGGCGTTGGAGGTTCAACATTTGAACTGGGGGGATGGGTTCTGGCCCTAACACTATCCTTTTATGCCTTTTATGCATCTGCTGTCCATGATCATCATTCATTTATCCATCAGCTCTCCACTGTCTCCGTTCCATGGGCTGCAGTTTGCATCTGTGGCTACCAGCTGTGAGCAGAAGCACGTTCCCATGTGTCTCTAAAAAGGAGTGTGTCTGTCTCAGCCTTGGACTTCCTTATTAAAACATTTCCTTAGGAGGCCCCCAGGAGCCATGGGGAGCCATGGAAATCTCCACCCTTTGACTCCAGGTTGGAGAAGCCAAGGACAGCTTGGTGCAGCCGCTATTCCTGAAGGGCAGACAACAGCAAAACCAGCACATAAGGGCACCACAAAAGATGCCCAAATATCCAAAATACAGCCCAAGACAAATACGACCTATACAAAGAATGGCCAGGCGGCCCATGGCAGAGCCCTCCAGTTGCCTGCTGATGGCCATTTGCCTCTGTTTCTTTATAACTGAAACTTTGCATTCAGGATGGCAATGAGACCAGCTAACAAACCCCACCATCTCTTGGCCTCCTGTGCCCCCAGGGAGGCCACGTGACATCATTCTGGCTTATGAGATGGAAAACTAAGGGTATCTGGGTTGCATTTCTTTCTCTTCCTGCCTGGAACTCATGTAAGATGCTTGGAGTAGCAGCAGTTTTCTTGTGGCCATGAAGATCAAAGCTATGCGCTGAGGATGGCAGGGCAGAACTATGGCAGGGTCTGAGACCCTGAGAACATCACAAAGCTGCCACACCGCAGCCTGGGAATGCCAAATGCCAGACTTCTTGCTACATGAAGAAAGAAAAACAAAATGTTGCTAAAGCTTCTCTTTTTTAAGCCACTGTTTGTCTACCTGCCTGTTACCCGCAGCTGAATGCAGCTGCCGCCTGAGACGAGGCCAGGGCACACCCTCCCTCTTGTTCAGTCGGTCGCCATGGCCTGAGTGCCTATCCGGAGCCGGGAACTGCGTCACGAGGCTGGAGATGCTGACCCGTGGATGCAGAATACATGAATTAGTCAGAATTGTGTGTTTCCGGGAACAGAAACCAATGAAATTGGCTTAAGAAAAAGAAGCCAGGTGCGGTGGCTTACGCCTATAATCTCAGCACTTTGGGAAGCCGAGGTGGGCGGATCGCCTGAGGTCGGGAGTTCAAGACCAGCCTGGCTAACATGGTGAAACCCGGTCTTTGAAAAAAAAAAAAAAAAAGAGAGAAAAAGAAAAGAAATTATGGGCCAGATATAGGTAATGGGGAGGAAGACAGCACATCACACTGCCATGTGTGTACCTATGCAACCATCTTGCATGTTCTTTACATGTACCCCAAAGCTTAAAATGCAATAAAAATAATTGAAGAAAAATATAAATATTATACCATGTATATTTTACCACAATAATAAAAAAAAAAAAAAACTGGTAAAAAAAAAAAAAAGAAAGAAAAAGAAATTATGGACCAGTGCAACTGAGATGGGGTGTCAGAGAAGGCTGGCAGAATCCTCCCTTCCACCATCTTTCCAGGTCACTGTGTTCTCGGGGGGCCGCTTCTGTCCCCTGCCAGGCAGCCCCGGTAGAGGAGTCTGTCCTGACCCCTGGCTCCAACAGAAGTCCCAGGAGTCTGAGGCCCGGTGCGGTGGCTCACGCCTGTAATCCCAGCATACTGGGAAGCCAAGCCAGGTGGATCCCTTGAGGTCAGGAGTTCGAGACCAGCCTGGCCAATGTGGTGAAATCCCATCTCTACTAAAAAAACAAAAATCATCAGGCCGTGGTGGCACATGCCTGTAGTCCCAACTACTCAGGAGGCTGAGGAAGGAGAACAGCTTGAGCCCGGGAGGCAGAGGTTGCAGTGAGCCCAGATCGCGCCACTGCACTCCAGCCTGGGCAAAAGCGTGAGATTCCATCTCAAAAAAAAGAGGTCCCAGGATTCTGGCTCACTGGACCAAGAGGTGACCTCAGGTATGTGCGTAGGTGCCATCCTACCCACCCATGTGGACATGCAGGCCACACACAGGTTTACACAAAACTCAACAACTGGCAAGGCACGGACACATTGTATGAACTTCTGACTCCCTCCATCCCACGTGACCAGGACTAAGGGGTTTCCCAGGACATGAGACTTTCCATTTTAAAACCAAGACAGCCCTGGGCCGCCCAGAACAGCTGGCCATCCCAGCTCCATCGGTACATGTTCATGACAATGAAGGTGATTTTTCTTCCTTGAAGAGATCCATAAAATGTACAAGAGAGCGCTTCTCCAGCTCAAACGGTATTTTCCTTAGAGATCAATGAGATCATCCCTCCCCGAAGTCCTGTGATCAGGCGAGAATATCCAGGCAGAGCCCTAGGCCTCGGTGGTGGCGGCGAATTGTCCGTGACGCAGGGGAGTGGCCGTAGAGTTCGGCTGGCCTCTGGCTGACACGACAGAGGCCAAATGGAAATGGAGCACCGTAGCCCCTGCCCTGTGCAGACTTCAGGGTATGAATGAGAAGGGAGCCTCTGCGATAGGTCATCCTCACATGGCCCCCTGGACACCACCCCACCCTCAAACTCTTGGTCGGTCCCACCCCAGCCAGTCTTAGCTCCTGCTCGCCAGCACCCCCATCTCTGCAGCTCTCTTGAACAGAGGATCTGCACACAGCGGGTCCTGCGGAAGCCAAAAAAAAAATTTTCTTGGCGTAGGTGAGTGTATCAGGTGCCACAGAAACAGCGATAAGGGCGTTTCTGGCCCTCCCCTGGGGTCATTCAGCCAGGATACAGCAAGGCAGGGGCTCCCAGCCAGCGGCCCGCTCCATGCCCACCCCGGGGGGGCCATTCACCCCAGTCAGCAACACCAGCCCTGGAATGACAACCTAAGCTCCTGCTCTTGCTGGACGCTCCCAAGTCCTTTCAGAATTCACAGGAATCACCCCCTCTGTGAGCTTCGTGCTCAGAAGACTTGGCCCACGTTCCCAGAGGGAGCGTCCCCACCATGCCCGTCACCAAGCAAGGAGCAAGACGCAGCCGCATCACCAGGTCCCTCCTTGCAGGAACGGTATCTGGTTCAATGCTCCTCCCTGGGGCTGCCGATCGTGGTCCTTTCCATCTCACTGTTCCATGCAAAGTCAGCAGCCCTTGCCGCAATCCAGAATCTGCTGGAACAATCCCAGGAAATACATCATGGAGCCTGGACGTGGGTGTTTGCCGAACTCCCCGCCGGAGGCTGTAATGTGGAGCCGGCATGAGAACCACGGGGCTTCCACAAGCTGTGGGTTAAGTGGCTCGCATCACAGCTAATGTGTTGGGGAGTGGGGGCAGGGGCACGGGTGCTTGGCCTCAAATCAACTTCCACGCCCCGTCGGCCTTCCTGGTACCTCCCATCCACACATGTGCAAGGACAGATGAACAGAGGGCATTGGCCGGTCCCCAGGCTTGTCCCCTAAAGCGTCCCACACGTGATGTCCTGCTGAGGGAGGGAGGCAGGGATCATTGTGCCCTCACTGAGCTTTGGACTGTTGGAGAGTGTGCAGAGGGTCAACCAGAGCCAGACTTGAACTCAGCCTCACGCGTGTGTCTCGAGACCCTCCCAGGGGTCCGCCCTGGGGAAACCATCACAGCCACCCGCACTTGTCTTGTCCCTCAGGAGGCAGGAGGAGAGTGGTCATGATGGTGGTGAGCTGAGGCAGGACGTGGCCTTGGGCCGCAGGGCTGGCTTTGGCTCTCCACTTTCATCTTTGTCTGTGGCCCCTCCATCTGAGTCCCCTGGCTCACCCAGCAACTCCTGCAGGCATACTTATAAGAAATTGGAGGTAGAGAAGATCTTAAAGCAAGACCCACCCCCAGGACCACCCCCTGCAACCGGGGACCCCAGAACCTGCTAAGGGACCCACAAGGCCAGCTCTTCCATCTCATCACGTGGCTGGTTGCCTCTATGGGACAGCCCTGGTCGGTCTGGGCAGGCACGGTCCATCTCAGGCCTCACTGAGCTCCCGCCCCGGGGTTGGGACGTGGGGATCATGAGCCTGCCCTGCTCCCCTCCCTCCCACCACCACCGGAAGGGTCTGCTGAGTGCAGGGCACGTGGAGGCCACAGCTTGCCAAGGCCTAGTCCTGCTTGGGTCTCCGGGGCTGCCGCTGGGCCAGTCTGTGGTCGATGTAGGTCCCAAGGCAGGACCACAGGATGAGGCGTGCTAGCAGGATCACCACCAGCAGGGCCAGGAGCAGGTCGGGGCCCGAGCTGCCACCTGGCCAGGAGGTCATGCCCAAGGTTGGCCCCACGGAGCAGCAGAGGCCTCTGTCCTCGAACCAAGATGAGGTGGGGCCCCGGCGCTGCCAAGTGGCCGCCGTGCAGCCCCAGGTCAGGAAGCTCCGTCCAGCCGGGGGCCTCTGCAGCCGGTGCCCCCAAGGGACCACCCGCTTCTCTCCGGTGCCACCAAGCAGGCCAGCCCTGCCCGCCAGACTCCAGCCCGGGGCCTCCCTGGCATGTGAGGGGACAGACGGGGGCGGCGAGCGGCCTCCTTGGTCAAGAGGCCCGTGTACCATTCATCCAGAATTAACCACTCTCTGTGCCGACAATGACAGCATTGTCCAAGGGCCTGGGGGGCGGGAGGCCGCCGGGAGCCCGCCCCCCTCGCTGTCCCCTCGCCCCCTGCTCGCCAGCACTGACGTAATCTGCAAACATCCCCGGCGGCAGCTGCTGGGCGAAGCGGCCACCTCCTCCCGGCGCTTTCAGCAGCCCACGCGGCTCTTCCGGCCCCACCAGACAATTGGGCCCTTTCTCTCCCCAATTAGCTATCACTTCTGGAGGCCGCGCCGTCCAGCGCCGGCCCACGGTCTCCGCGGCAGCCGGCCCAGGATGGGGCGGGGGCCAGGAAGCTTGGCGGGGAGGCTGGGGCCACTGCAGGGAAGGAGGACGGAGCCTGTGCATGAAAAGCCAAGGAGAGAGGGGGAGAAGATGAGGACAGGCGGCCACAGTCCCAAACACAGCTCAGCAGCGCAGGGTCAGCGCCCCGCCTCTGATGGCAGCGGGTCAGCGCGGGAAACCTGCTTCGCCCCAGCAAGGGGACCAGTGGGCTCCAGACAGCACCTCCCTCCAGCTCACCCCCACCACCCCCCACTAAGAAGTCTGAGATGGGACCCATAGCCCTAAGCTGCAGCACACAGGCCTGGGGTCCCCTGACATCCCCCCAGTGACCCTGGGCCTGACACCAGTCCCGCGTTCCACTAGCTGAATGGCCTCTGGCAAGCTGCACAACCACTCAGAGCTGCAGATTCTGCGTTGGAAAGTGAGGCAAATACCTCCTGCTTTGAAGGACTGCGGGGGAGACAGCGTTTCTCAGGGGCCAAGCCCAGCGCCTGCACACGGAGACCCTGGCCCCGGGCTCTCCTCAGCGGGTGCCTGCAGAAAGGCCTCTGCATCATTTCCGAAATAACAGTGTCTGCCCAGCCTTCTCCTCCTGCCACACACGCACACGCACACACACATATGCACATGCGTGTACACACAAACTCACACGTGTGCACACACAATAAGGACACCTTGACCTCTACAGGCTCTGCCCCTGAAGTCCCCCTCTGGCCTCTCACAGCCAAGTTTCTGTGGGTGAGAGAGAAACTGCAGGCATTGCCCCCTCTAAGTCCAAGACCACATCCCATAGAGCAAAGGGGCCCCCGTTGGAGCTGGGGGGGTAAGCATGAGGAACAGAGGTCTCTGGTGGCTGGGTCCTGGGAGTCCAGCCAGTTCTCACCAGGAAATGTCCAGCCTGAGCCGGAGAGCAGCAGCGCTGGCCTCCTGGCTGCAGGGCTCTGGGACCCATCACCAGTTGCCGGAAGCCAGTCTTCAGTTTCTTCCCTGTCTACAAAATGAGTGTCCTCCCTGCCAAGCCTGTCCAGAAGGTTCAAACAGGAAGTAGAACGCAATCTCACTCACATGGGCTGGGCACGGCCTAAGCTGCCTTCCTCCAGCCGTCCTGGAGCCCAGCAAGGACTGGCAGAGGCCGTCTGGGAAGCATGCCTGGCTGGCCCCTCCTCACTCTGTGGTGTCCCCTGCACCTGCTGGCCTGCCCAGGGCCTCTGTCAAAGGCCACTCTCTCAGGGAACATTTAGCTCTGGGCTTATTTTCCACGCACACAGGTCTGAAGATCACTTCAAAGATAGGTGGGGAGTTAGTTCTCGGGACCCCATCATGAAGTGAGTAATCCAATAGAGCATTTGCTGGATCAGGCCTTCCAGAAGGCCAGGGAAAGTCCTGCCGACTTCCTGTGGAAGCCCATCTGCCCATGGGGTGAGGGTCCCCAGATGGGAGCAGCTGTGCACGCAGGGAGAGGGCAGAGGCTGCTGTCAGCGGGCATGTCCCTTACCTGAGAGGGCCACCTCTCCAGGTGACGTGTCCTGGGGGAGCCAGGGCCGTCTGCTCAGGCTGGAGGTGCTCACTCAGCTCAGGCCACACGAGGCAGGGCCCCTCCCGACCTGGACAAGTGGGGACGAGGTGGCCTTGGACAAAACTCTCTGTGTTTGCCAAGCACCCAATTGGACACACACAGAGTTAACCACGCCCCAGTCACCTGTTGCCCACACGCAGGGGTCAAGGAGGCCCCCACCCCCAGACGTCCCTGGACCTCTGGGAGTCAGCGAGGACAAGGACGGTGTGCCCTTTGTGGGAGGAAGGGAGCTGCCTCCGCCTGGGACGTCCAGGCCCAGCTTCTCCCGAGAGCGGGCTGCTTGCTGGATAAAGTAGCCGGGAGCCACAGGGAAAATGCGAGTGACCATGAGCACCCACAGACACAGCGGGCACTGCAGCATGGCTACTGGGAAACCTCTCATTCCCAGGGGAAACTCCCCAAGTCCTCCCACCATCAGCAGCGTGTGGTTGTGGCCGAGACCTGTGCTCAGAGCCTCCGCCCGCTCCTGTGCCTCACCAGCCGCCACCCTGCATTTTGGCTTCCACCAGGACTCTTCTCCAGGGCGTCCTGGGCCACCGGAGCCACCCCGACGCACAGAGACCCAAAGGCCCGAGAAGTTCCCTCCCACAGACAGCCCTGAACCTAAGACTTACCAGGTCAGGACATAGCCCAGGTCCCTGCTTTGGGCCAGGACAAACTAGAGGCCACTGTGAGCCCAAGCTCCCCCTGAAAATCCCAGGGACTTGCGGCTGTGCCTGGAGTCACCCCCTTCCCAGCCCGCTCCCCTTTATCTTGCCCTCCCTGCTCCTCCCTTTCATGATTCCCGGTCACACTCCCCATGAATCATCCACCTATGAATATAATCCAGGATGAGCATGACAAGGGACCCATGGGCACAGACCAGACCCCGCCAATGGGAACGCCTGGAGTGCGTGGAGCTGAGCGGTGGGGGCTCCCAGCCCCGGGCCTCTGAGGATGGATCAGGGGATGGAAGTTACCATCAGGACCTCAAACAGCCAAGGCATCTTCCTGCACCTGTTCAACGTCGATACAGCAGTGAGTGACGCGCCCTACCTCACAGTTTCCTGACAAAATGCCTGGCAGAGGAAACCCTCTCCAACAGGTGAGCTCCGTGGGAAGGGCCTGGGGTGGAAGCAACAAGGAGGCGCAAGTTCTCACCCCCAAAGCCTGGTCCCCACCCCAGACCAGCCCTCAGCACAGGTGACAGCCAGGGACAGAGCCCCAAGAACCCCATGAGCAGCTTCCCATGAGCCCCAGGCACTCTGGTCTCCATTGAATCATCACTGGGCCTCAGTTTCCTCATTTGTAAAAGGGGAAAATAATCCCAGCACTTTGGGAGGCTGAGGTGAGAAGGTTCAGGAGTTCGAGGCCAACCTAGGCAACAAGACAAAACCCCATCTCTAAAAAAAAAAAAAAAAAAAATACAAAAATTAGCTGGGTGTGGTGGCCTACACCTGTAGTCGCAGCTAGCTAGGAGGCTGAGGCGGGAGGCTCGCCTGAACCTGAGAGGCAGAGGTTGAGTGAGCCATGGTCAAGCCACTGCACTCCAGCCTGGGCAACAGGGAAAGACCCTGTCTCAAATAAAAAAAAAGTGAGGGGATAATAATCGCTCCCCAGCTTCTGCAAGCACGGCTAGGGATGAGAGTGTTTTGAGGGGAAATCCCTGCCCAAATGTCACAGAGACGAGCTGAACTTGACTCCAGTGCAGGACCACCACTGAACGCCCTCCCCCAGGGACCACTGGGCACGCCCCGGGGCTTCCGTGGGTTGCTGGGTTTTTTGGTTATTTTCATAGCAGCAACATCCTCTGCACTCTTCCACGTGTTTCCAGAACTCGAACTCTCACCGAAGCCCCCAGGATTTGCACAATTCCAGGCACCTAGAAGACTCTCAGCAAGGACGGCCACATGCATCGGGGCGGGGAGGCCAAATTCAAGGAAGTGCATGTTTTCCTTGGAGCAGATCCCGCCAAAATTGTATGACCATCAGCTACAACCTTGTTGATAGTGAGGCATTCCCAGACATGTCAGGGTCCTGTTGAAAATCATTATTTTTTTTTCTTTGTTTCTTTTTTGCAAAAGTAAATATGTTTGCTTTAACCAAAAAAAAAAAACAAGGTAACCATCATGGAGATGGGTGAGTTGGGAAAGCATCAACATCCTCAACTCTTACTTCTGCCAAGATGGAGCACAGGACACGAGGACCCCGTCCAGGGCCCATGGGGAGTCTGAGGTCGTACCCCGTGAAGGCCTGCAGCCAGACACCTCTCCCCCTGAGAACGCTGCATCTCAAAACCCAGCCGGCGCAGGCCGCCGAAATCAACAGAACATGCATTTCAAACCGGGTTTCCACTGAAATGCTCCCTACACACAGACGGGTGAAAATTAATTTTCTTTCTTCCTGCGCCACAAAAGCAGATTAAAATCACGAACAGTGGGACGAGTGGGGGGAAGTGGAGGGCTTCCTCATTGAGGGAGACCCCTGCCCAGGCGGTTTCTCTCCCTAACAAGGGATGGCCCCAGCCGGTTGAGACGTCCTGCTGCAGCCATAAAGCCCAACCCAGGAGAAGGTACTTGAGAAAGAGGAGGCCGCTGCCCTCCCGACGGCTGAAAGCTGGTATGTAGCTTTGCTCGGGGTGATCAAACAGCTAGTCAAGGACGCTGTCAGGAACAGAATGAAATTCCAAATAAATTAGCCATGTCCAAGAAGCCAATACAACACCGGATTAAGGCTCACAAAGAAAACACAATTTATTCAGCCTACCTTGTCAGAATTCTTAATAACCCCCCTTCCTTTTCCTCACCTCGGGCTGAGAGTCCCTGGGTGTGAAGAGACAAAGTGAACCCCACTCGGGACACTGGGCGACAAGGACTTAGACGCACAGGATGTCTAGTGGAGCATGAGCGTTTACAAAATCGTGTTTTTAGGCACATTTCAGCGGGGGCCGTACACAATTGCCCAAGGAAGGCAAGCTGTCCCCCAGCCCCACTCACATGTGAATGAGCGGGTTCATACATTAGAATACGGGGGGAGGGGGCAGACACAGCCATATTCACCACTTCGGCTTAACTCTTTGGGGTTTTGGGAAGAGGAGAATCCTGCCGGCGCCTCCGATGAAGCGTGTTCTGGCGGAGGTGCCTGAAAGCTCTGTCTTCATGTGAACATTATTTTATCTTTTAAGGCAACAAGTAGGTGAACGGTAAGTGTAACCCTTTGCAAATCCCAACTGCCCTCTGTGACAACTCATTAATATATTCAGCAGCCCTAAAGACAATACCTTTTTTTTTTTTAATCAATGAACCCAGACAGCTTTCACAGCCGACAAACGCTCTCTGAAAGAGTTAATAGGCAGAGGTTTGTGCGACTCCGGAGCAGGCACGTTTAGAGGGTCCTGGGCCTCCACGTCTTAGGCCGTGATGATGTATCTAGTTTGCCCAAAGGCCTCAACGAGAGTATGGGGCCCTTTCTTTGTCCCCAGAGAGGGGGGTGGTGGGGCCGGGGAGGGGGAGTTTGCTTTGCAGCACCGAGGCATTTGCAGGAGATAAAGCCAACAGGGAATTTGAAGGGGAGCTGGAAGGAAGTGATTGGGCCATTACTCTGAGACAGAATGTCAAGATGCTTGAGAAATACACAAAATAAGGATTTTCCCAGAAATGTTTTTTTAAAACGAGATGACCTAATGGTATTAAATTTAAAAAAAAAAAAAAAAGATAAAAGCATTGCACTAAGCTGGGGGAAATCTCAGCCATTTCCCAAGCCTAGCTTCTCTCTCGATTTCTAAATAAAACAGGAAGGCAAGCGGTGGAGACAAGAACAGGGAGACACGTCTGAGGCCTGCCGTGTGCATGCAAAATGACTTTTGTGAGAGTGAGCAGGAGGGAGCCTCGGAACGGGGCCCCGGCCCAACGACAATGGGCATGAGAACCCCGTGACCTCCAGGGCTCTCAGAGTGGGACCGAGTCACCGGGAGGTGCCCTGTTGTCACCAAGTGTGTGCCACAAGGAGAATCTCCTGTCACCTTAGAAAGGCTGTGGTCTCATTTAAGTTCCACATAGATTCTGGATAGTAGACCTTTGTCCGATATGTAGTTTGCAAAAATTTTCTCCCATTCTCTAGGTTGTCTGTTTACTCTGTTGATAGTTTCTTTCTCTGTGCAGAAGCTCTTCCATTTAAATGGATTCCCATTTGTCCATTTCTGCTTTTGTCGCAATTGCCTTTGGCATCTTCATCGTGAAATCTTTGCCCATGCCTATGTCCTGAATGGCTTGCCTAGGTTGTCTTCCAGGGTTTTTATAGTTTGGGGTTTTCCATTTAAGAATTTAATCCCTCTTGAGTTAATTTTTATGGATGGTATAAGGAAGGGGTCCAGTTTTAATCTTCTGCATATGGCTAGCCAGTTATCCCAGCACCATTTATTGAATAGGGAATCCTTTCCCCATTGCTTGTTTATGTCAAGTTTGTCAGAGATCAGATAGCTGCAGGTGTGCAGCCTTATTTCTGGGTTCTCTATTCTGTTCCATTGGCCTGTGTATCTGTTTTTGTACCAGTACCATCCTGTTTTGGTCACTGTAGCCTGGTAGTATATTTCAAAGTCAGGGAGATGCCTCCGGACTTTTTCTTTTCACGTAGGAAAAACCCTATTAAAAAGTGGGCAAAGGACATGAACAGACACTTTTTAAAAGAAGACATACATGCGGCCAACAATCATATGAATAAAAGCTCAACATCACTGATCATTAGAGAAGCACAAATCAAAACCACAATGAGATACCATCTCACACCAATCAGAATGGCTATTACTAAAAAGTCAAAACACAGCAGATGCTCGTGAGGCTGTGGGGAGAAAGGAACACTTATACACTGTTGGTGTGAGTGTAAATTAGCTCAACCACTGTGAAAGACAGTGTGACAATTCCTCAAAGACCAAAGACAGAAATACCATTTGACCCAGCAATCCCATGACAAGATATATACCCAAAGGAATATAAATCATTCTATTATAAAGACACATACACATGTACATTCATTGTAACACTATTCACAATAGCAAAGACATGGAATCAACCTAAATGTCCATCAATGATAGGCTGGAGGAAAAAAATGTGGCAACATACACCATGGAATACTACACAGCCATGAAAAGGAATGACAACACATCCTTTGCAGGAATATGGATGGAGGTATAGGGTTTTATTCTCAGCACACTAATGCAGGAAGAGAAAAGCAAATGCTGCATGATATCTCACTTATAAGTGGCAGCTAAATGATGAGGACACATGGACACAAAGAGGCAAACAGACACTGGGGCTGTTTGGAAGGTAGAAGATGGGAGGGGAAGAGGGAAAGGACCAGGAAAAATAACGAATGGGTACTAGGCTTAATACCTGGGTGATGAAATAATCTGTACAACAAACCCCCATGACACAAGTTTACCTATGTAACAGACCTGCACATGCACCCCTAAATTTAAAATAAAAGTTTTTAAAAAGAGAGCAAGAAGGAAATGCTGTGGTCTCACAGCCACCATGCGGGACGTGTGTTCATAGCCTCCCAGAGATGCCATTGTTAGCAGGTGACAGTGCTCACTTAACAGGAAGAAGAGGCTGCTCAGGCTAGCCCAGGCATGACCCCTGCTGGAGGCTAGCTCGGGTCCATCCCGGCTGGGGGCTAGCCCAGGCACATCCCCCTGCTGAGGGCTAGCTCAGGCACATCCCCTGGCTAGAGGCTAGCTGGTGTCCATCCTGTGGCTGGGGGCTAGCCCAGGCATGACCCCACTGGAGGCTAGCTCAGGCCCATCCTGTGGCTGGAGGCTAGCCCATGCACATGACCAGCTGGGGGCTAACTCAGGCACATCCCCTGGAAGCTCACCAGGAAGCACAGTGGCCTCCTCTCCTTCTAAGGAACTGGGTCTCTCTGCCTGACTTCTTCCACCTTCTCTTTCTCTCTGCTCATCGGCTCCCTCTGCTCTGCCTGAGCCTAAGGCACTGTCAGCTTCACCCATAAATAAGTCCAGCACCCACACTCTGCCGTCCTGGCCTCCCCACCCCAGGCTCCCGAGATAGAGAACTGGAAGGGCCCAGCAGCCCCTGCATTGGTTCCACAGGCAGAGTCCAAGCTTGACACACCCGCTGAGGGCTGAGGTACCCACATGGCTGCAGGGGCTCCAAGAAGGCAGACAGGAAGCAGGGCACATGTGGCCAGCCCCCGCCTCTAACCTATGTACACACACAGGTGCAGCACCTTCCCAAGTCCTGCTGAAGGTCACGTTACATTTCC